TTTACGATATATTTTTGCTCGTTTTTAACTATTTTCACCTGTTTCCATGTATTTGAGGCCCGTATTTACACTCCGATGAGTATATGAGTATAAACTGTATCTCCTTGAACCTCTAACGGGTACACAAGGTTAAACTGATTTTCGAAACTCTGAGGAGTATATGAGTATAAACTGCTTCTCCGTGCTCCAACTCCTTAAGAGCTTATACTGTGTAGACTCCAGTTAACGTATGAGTATAAACTGTGTTCACACCAGTCAACGCGTGATGATGAAAGTCAACATTGTTCAACACATTACAATGAAAGTCAACACCAGTCAACACGTGATAATAAAAGTCAACGTCAGTCAACGCGTGACAATGAAGGTTAGCGTTGGGCAACGCGTTGCAATCAACACATCGATATTTTTGCCAAAATAATGCTTAATGGCACTACAATGAGGGTCTATTCTAGTATCAACCCATATAAATATTTTAGCATCCGGTAAACAAGGTTTAGGAATAAACATCCAATAAACCCAGGGGATTATATAAACACAAACCTCTCATCAAAACAAAACTAATAATCATGAAAACAAAAAATTTGATCAAAGAAAAAGAATTGTTTTCATGTTCAAAAGTTTAAAGTATAATTTTTCAAAACCAAGAAAAAAAATAAAAATACTAAAATTCTTGGTTTAAAATCAAATTTGTTTTGGTACCCAAGTATTCTTGGTACCAAAAGGTTTAAGGACATGACCCCTATCTATAAAGCTTAAAGCCCTAGGGTTATGAACCCTCTTGGGCATATGTGGTGCACGGGATCAGTCATAGTAATAATCACTCAAATGACCCTTCCGATTGCAATATGTACAATGGAAAGGAAGCATTTGCTTATGTTGACCATAAAAAGGTGCACGTAGAACATTTGCAAACAAAGGTAAATTATTTGAAACTTTTTGCAAATGTGAAACATTATCAAAACAAAACTTTCCTAAGTGGCCAAATCTACCATAAACATTATATTTATAAACATGTGGTCTACTAGAAACATTTGGTAAATGAGACTTATTTTTTAAATCAAAACAGTATTTGGCCAAATGACCAAAACGACCATAATGATCACACTTGAATACACTAGCATGCTTATGATGAACTTTGTGAGAATAAGCATGTGAATGTGTAAGTGTACAAGATGAAGAAGCTACATGAGATGCACAATGAGCATTAGAATTCTTATGTTTGTGTGCATCATAGCAAAATTTAGATAAATGGCCTTTACGATCACAAATTGAACACTTGTAAACTTTGCTATATATGTGTGCATGGTGTATGGGATGTCTAGATGTAGTAGCATGAGACTTAGCACACATATCCATAAGCTTCTTATGATTATTAATGCATGTTTTCAAAGTTGAATCTAAAGATGAAATACGTTTATTCACAAGATTCAAATCATCATTAAGCACATATGCATTTGTATTAGAAGAAGAACATATATAGTTATTTACAAAAAAACAACTTTATTTTTCATGTTTTCTACTTCTAAAATGACATTATCTTTTTCACGAGCTAAACTAGCAACATTTGAGATTAAAGAATCATGAATAGTTTCAAACTTAGAAGCTAATAACTCATGATCGGATTTTAATGCAACATGCTTGCTTTGTAATTCAATAAAATCTTTGTACAATTTGTTATAGGCATGCAATAATTTTTCACTAGCACAAGCAAGTTTATCACTAGATAAATTATTTATGGATTCGAACTCGCAAACCTCACTAGGGCTATCGCCTAGTGGCCGTGTGCATAAAGATGAAGCTCCACATGAACTAGAAGCGGAATCCTCCAAAGCTTGTCGGATCGCCTCCAAATTTCCTTGATGTGCTTTTATAAGTTTCCATAATGTGTAAGCATTATCAAAAGAATCAAGCTTGTTAGAAAAAGATGAATCGAACGCATTATGTAAAAACTCTAACAAAGGCTTGTTCATAGCAAACATTCGATGATCATTTTTATTCCACTTGGATTTCTCCAAGGTGGACACAATATAAGCATTATCTATAATTTCCCATAAATCAAAGTGTCTAGATTAAACAAAAAGTTTAAATCTAATACACCATTGGGCATAGGGGAAAAAATCTAATCTATGAGCAATATTGATGACATAACCTAAACTAGGTGTACCGTGCATATCCATAATGTATATATGTGCAAGCAAGATAACGATAAAATCTCAAAACTAGATTAGCACAAAAATATAACTTGGATCATTAACTCAAGGCGATTAGACCTTAAATTAAATAGCACCAAGCTCTGATACCAAATGTTAGACCCCAGAGGGGGGGGTGATTTGGGTCTTATGCTAATCTAATCCAATTTTATGCCAATTAAAATTAATAACAAGTTATCCTAGCAAGTATGAAATACAACAAGATATATGAGCTAGGATAAGCAATATGAACAATATGAAATACAACAAGATATATGAGCTAGGATAAGCAATATGAACAAAGAGATATATCCTAGTAATGAGATATACTATAAGATATATGCAGATAAGCAATATGAACAAAGAGATATATCCTAGTAATGAGATATACTATAAGATATATGCAAGGATATACAAATTAACACAATGGTGAAATAAACATAAACAAAATAGTGGATGATATAAATAATGAGCAATGGACAATGACGACAAGAAATATAAACATAAGAGAAGTGCACCAAAGCAGACTCAAACACACGATATGATCACGAAGTTCGGACCTTTCGTCCTACGTCTCCGCTCCCCACTCCCGAGGAGAAATCCACTATCATAATCGGGTTTTCTACGCTCACCCGAATAACGTTTACACCTCACAATGTCGGTTTTCAATGCTCACCGATCAACGTCCACACCTAACACTCGGTTTTCTAGTTCACCGAAAACTTCACAATTCACACTCTCACAATGTCGGTTTTTAACGCTCACCGATCAGCGTCTACACCTCACACTCAGTTTTCTAGCTCACCGAAAACTTTACAACACTAACAATGTAATAACAAATGATTTGTTCTCTAATACAATGTGAGAACTCAGTTAAGCACAACTCAATGTAACAATCTCTCACAACCCTAATTTACTATGTATGTAAATACTAAAAGCTCAATGTGGATGTGTGTAATAAAGAGATTAATCAAATCTTAAACTCAATATAAAACTAGCTTTAATAAAATGATAAAAAAAATAGATATAAAGCTAGAAATAAAGTTTAGAAAACTTCTCAATGGATCAAGAGATTCAGGGAGGATGGTTGGATGCTCAAGCACCAATAGGATCTCCTCAAGCTCTTGTGAAATTGATTTCACAAACCCAAAACTCTCAATTACTTAAAAGCTTCTTAAACACTCTTTTAAACAAACACTAAACAAGTTTAAACCCTTGTTAAACTTTTTAAAACATTCTCTTGGATTACATTGAGAACTGAGATCAATAGGGTATTTATAGCCTCCCAAAACCTCAATCAAAAGCCTAACAGAAATGACCAAAAAATCAACAGAATCAAAAATCAGATTCTATACAAAATGACCGTTAGAGTGAACGGCGGTCGACCGTGAAAATCTCGCGGTCGACCGTAAAAATCTCGCGGTCGATCGCGAGCCACTTTCGAGGCTCAGAAAATTCCAGAAACTTTGACGGTCGACCGTGACGGTCGACCGTCGAAATTTTCGAGCTGACGGTCGATCATGGTGGTCGACCGTGAAAGTTATTGTTGGCTCCGCAGGTTAAAAACAAAAGCACGATCGATCGTGGCGGTCGACCATAGACTGACATATGAGAAAACAGGTTTGAAAGTTAATTTTCTGATTTTAAAACCCTGTTTAAAAATATCAAATAAATTCCAAAAAATATAAAATTTTGGAGAATGATTGTAGACATGATAATAAACATGCTACAAAGACTGGTTTTTAAAAAGGACCTCCCAAATGAAAAATATCATCATTTTGCTGACATTTTAGCTTAACCATGTTTTGAAATAATACAAAATGATTTTATAGACTTGAAGAAAGATGTAAATTATTGTTATGAAGTCTATAAATAATGAATATAGTATTTTCACAAATACAATAGAATATGAAACATATGAGTATGAATATGAATATATATTTGTTTCATATCTATGAAATTAAACCAAACCAATTTATCCGCTTAAAAACAAACATGTATGAATATAAATATTTGTTTATATGCTAGTAAAAACTTTGTTTGTGGATAAACAAAAAAGTCAAAATGTGTATATATATATAACTATATATATACATAGAAACCAATAAAATGTGTGTGTATATGATATTGAGCTTAAAGTACTTAACACACATAATATAAACTCCTAAACTAATTATACCCAAGCTTGTGATCTTCAATGAAGCTCTATCTTGGTACACTCGCGGATGAAGCTTGAACTTGAATCTTTAACTTGAATTGTAAGGCTTCAACCACTATTCCACCAACCTCCATTTAATATGATCGTTATGGCGCAATCCATCCAACCTCCAATATATTATTTACCTAGAATAAATATAAAACACAAATACTAGATAAACAATATTAGATATAAATTATTTGTAAATCATCATCAAAACAAGAAGGCTAACAAGATTAAACTCTAGTTTAAGAGCTTGTATTTCTTCTTCAATTAATAAAAAAATTGTGTGGTGTGGTTCCCGAGGACATAGGCACATTGTCGAACCTCGTTAAATCTGTGTGTTCGTCTCCTTTACTGTTTTTACAAGGTTAGATCTTTATTTATGGTATTATTCCTACTTTCCTACTTTCAACACAAGGTCCAGAAGGGCAAGGGTTCGATTGATTATTTCGAATCCCCAACAACTGGTATCAGAGCTTCGTTCAGCAATTTGTGTGAAAGTCATGGCAGAGAAAATCAAATCAAAGATCAAAAAGTTTGACGGTTCAGATTTCGCCTACTGAAAGTTATAGAAGGACTATCTGTACCAGAAGGACTTGTATCGCTCGTTGATGGGCAAGGAAAAGGGACAGAAAAAGGAGGAGTTAAATAGTGATTGGGAGATATTGGATAGGAATGCTCTAGAGCAAATCTGGTTGTCGCTCGCCAAATCAGTAGCCCACAATATTTTGAAAGAGAAGATGACAGTGGGGCTTATAGAAGCACTCACAAAGATGTATGAGCAACCGTCGGTAGCAAACAAGGTGCATCTCATCAAAACTCTTTTCAACCTCAAGATGGCAGAAGGACGGTCCTTCACGATGCACCTCAGCGAGTTCAACATGATTATTGATCAGCTTATCTCCATGGATATCACGTTTGATGATGAAGTGCAAGTCCTATTGATTCTATCGCAGTTGCCAGATAGTTGGGCATGTTGTGTGATGGTAATCAGCAATTCGACGGGGAAGGAGAAGTTGAAGCTGAGTGAGGTTGTTAGTATGATTCTATCCAAGGAGGTTAGAAAGAAATCGTCCGAATCAGAAGATTCAGGTTCAACTCTAAACTTCGAGCAGAGAGGCAAAAGCCAGAAGAAAGGAAACCAGAATAGGAATCAGTCGAAATCAGTGAAGAAGAGGTCGAACTCGAAGATTAGGCCTATCAAAGAGAAGTGTTGGAACTGCAGCCAGGAGGGTCATATGTCTTCAGTCTGCAAAAGTCCAAAGAAGGATGCGGGTGAGCAGGAGGCTCATATCATGCAGGATGCATTGATCCTTGCTATAGAGAGCGACTCGGATTCTTAGGTCATCGATTCAGGAGCCTCTTTTCACGCCACTACTAACAGGAAGCTATTTCAGAATTATGTAGCAGGGGACTTTGGAAAAGTGTATTTGAGGAATAACGAGCCCTGTAATATTATTAGAAAGGGTGAAGTACAGATTCAGATGAAGGGCTCTAAGTGGACCTTGAAGAACGTAAGACACATGCCGAAGCTGAAGAGGAATCTTGTTTCGATGGGACAACTTGGAGTAGAAGGCTATGTTTCAACATTCACAGGGGATTCATGGAGAATCTCCAACGGTATGATGATAGTTGCTCAAGACAACAAGCTAGGAACTCTCTACCTCACCTTACATACGAGTGACACCCTCGTAATTACAGCTGATAAAGAGAGTACAGATCTGTGGCACAACAGGCTAGGGCACATGAGCAAAAATGGGGATGAAGATTTTGCATTCACAAGGAAAGCTAACCGGGATCGACACCGTGGAAGTCGGGATTTGTGAAGACTGTATCTTTGGGAAGCAGAAGATGGTTAGTTTTCAGAAGGGTGGAAGGCCACCTAAGGCTCAGAAGCTAGAGTTGATTCATACAGATATATGGGGTCCAGCCAGTGTGTCTTTTTTTGACGGTTCGAGATATTATGTCACCTTAATCGACAATCACTCGAGGAATGTGTGGATCTACTTCATGAAGCACAAGTCAGAGGTGTTTGGAATCTTGAAGAAGTGGAAGTTTATGGTGAAGAATGAGACAAATCTGAAGGTAAAGTGTCTGAGATCAGACAATGGTGGGGAATACGAGCTGGAGGAGTTCAAGAGATTCTGTGCTACGAATGGTATTCGCTTAGAGAGGACTACTCCAGGGACGCCATAGCAGAACGACATTGCGGAGAGGATGAACAGGTTCTTGACAGAGCGTGCCAGGAGCATGCGATTACATGCAGGTCTGCCTAAGACATTTTGGGTTCAATACGATTGTTGATCAACTTATCTCCATAGATATCACGTTTGATGACAAAGTGCAAGCCTTATTGATTCTATCATAGTTGCCGGATAGTTGGGCAGGTTATGTGACGGCAATCAGCAATTCGGTGAGAAAGGAGAAGTTGATTCTATCCGAGGAGGTTAGAAGGAAATCGTCTGAATCAGAAGGTTCAGATTCAGCTCTACACTTCGAGCAAAGAGGCAGAAGCCAGAAGAAAGAAAACCAGAACAAGAATCGGTTGAAATCAGTGAAGAAGAGGTCGAACTCGAAGATTAGGCCTATCAAAGAGAAGTGTTGGAACTGCAGCCAGGAGGGTCATATGTCTTCAGTCTGCAAAAGTCCAAAGAAGGATGCGGGTGAGCAGGAGGCTCATATCATGCAGGATGCATTGATCCTTGCTATAGAGAGCGACTCGGATTCTTAGGTCATCGATTCAGGAGCCTCTTTTCACGCCACTACTAACAGGAAGCTATTTCAGAATTATGTAGCAGGGGACTTTGGAAAAGTGTATTTGAGGAATAACGAGCCCTGTAATATTATTAGAAAGGGTGAAGTACAGATTCAGATGAAGGGCTCTAAGTGGACCTTGAAGAACGTAAGACACATGCCGAAGCTGAAGAGGAATCTTGTTTCGATGGGACAACTTGGAGTAGAAGGCTATGTTTCAACATTCACAGGGGATTCATGGAGAATCTCCAACGGTATGATGATAGTTGCTCAAGACAACAAGCTAGGAACTCTCTACCTCACCTTACATACGAGTGACACCCTCGTAATTACAGCTGATAAAGAGAGTACAGATCTGTGGCACAACAGGCTAGGGCACATGAGCAAAAATGGGGATGAAGATTTTGCATTCACAAGGAAAGCTAACCGGGATCGACACCGTGGAAGTCGGGATTTGTGAAGACTGTATCTTTGGGAAGCAGAAGATGGTTAGTTTTCAGAAGGGTGGAAGGCCACCTAAGGCTCAGAAGCTAGAGTTGATTCATACAGATATATGGGGTCCAGCCAGTGTGTCTTTTTTTGACGGTTCGAGATATTATGTCACCTTAATCGACAATCACTCGAGGAATGTGTGGATCTACTTCATGAAGCACAAGTCAGAGGTGTTTGGAATCTTGAAGAAGTGGAAGTTTATGGTGAAGAATGAGACAAATCTGAAGGTAAAGTGTCTGAGATCAGACAATGGTGGGGAATACGAGCTGGAGGAGTTCAAGAGATTCTGTGCTACGAATGGTATTCGCTTAGAGAGGACTACTCCAGGGACGCCATAGCAGAACGACATTGCGGAGAGGATGAACAGGTTCTTGACAGAGCGTGCCAGGAGCATGCGATTACATGCAGGTCTGCTTAAGACATTTTGGACGGATGCGGTGCATACAATAGCTTACCTTATTAATCACGGATCATCAGTTCCATTAGATTTTAGGATTCCAGATGAGGTTTGGAGTGACAAGAAGATAAATCTCTCACACTTGCGGGTATTTAGTTGTATGTCTTATGTTCATATAAGTGACTATGTCAGGGATAAGCTAGAAGCTAAGTCACAGAAGTGCACATTCATTAGATACGACATTGATAAGTTCGGGTATCGTCTTTGGGATGAGAAGAACAGGAAGATCATCAGAAGTAAGGATGTGATATTCAATGAGGAGGTGATGTACAAGAACATGAAAGATGCTAAGGATATCCAAAGTAGTGGGAGTAGCATATCAGATACAGATGGATCTGAGTACATGAATATAGAGAAACTTCCAGATAGGGGTGATGATGTTTGTTCTGATCAGAGAATGGAGAAGGATCCAGGTGCAGAAGAAACTACCCGGGGCATAGAGCTTAGGAGGTCATTCAGGGTACCCAAACCAAATCCCAGATATCTTTTATCTTTTGACTATTTATTATTGACAGATAACGGTGAGCCGGAGTGCTATGAAGATGCAATGTAAGTGAGTGAATCTCAGTAGTGGGAGTATGCAATACAAGAGGAGATGGATTCTCTACTCACTAATGAGACTGCACAAAAGAAGGCCTTACATAATAAATGGGTCTACCGGATCAAGCAAGAGAGTGATGGAAGCAAGAGATTCAATGCCAGATTAGTAGTGAAGGGGTTTCAACAGCGGGAAGGAGTGGACTACACGGAGATATTTTCCCCTATTGTGAAACTCACAACCAACAGAGTAGTGTTGAGTTTGGTGGCTACAAAAGACCTCTTTCTTGAGCAGTTAGATGTGAAGACTGTCTTTCTTCATTGTGACTTAGATGAAGAAATCTACATGAAGTAACATGTTGGCTTCACTGAAGAAGGAAAGGAAGAGATGGTGTGTAAGCTCAAGAAGAGTTTATATGGTTTGAAACAGGCTCCGAGACAGTGGTATAAGAAGTTTGATAACTTCATACAGAACAATGACTACAGAAGATGCAATTCGGATCATTGCTGTTATTTTAAAATGTTCGAGTCCAGCTTTATTATTTTGTTATTGTATGTTGATGACATGTTGGTAGCAGGACCGTGTTTAGAGGAGATAAATAGTTTGAAGAAGTAGCTAGCAAAGGAATTTACAATGAAGGATCTGGGTGCAGCGAAGCAGATTCTAAGAATGCGAATCAGTAAGGATGAAGCTGAAGAGACATTGAGATTGAGCCAAGCTGAATACATTGAGAAGGTACTTCAGAGGTTCAACATGCAGAATGCTAAAGTTGTTAGCACACCCCTTGGAAGTCAGTTCAAGCTATTTGAGGAGCAATCGCCTAAGACAGATGCAGATAGAGAGCATATGAGCAGGGTGCCATATTCTTCGGCCATTGGGAGTCTCATGTACGCGATGGTTTGCACGAGGCCGGATATCGCCCATGCATTAGGAGTTGTGAGAAGATTTGCAAGCAATCCAGGAAAGTAGCATTGGGAGGTCGTGAAGTGGATAATGCGGTACTTGAGAGGGACAACGAACAAGCCATTATGTTTCAGGAGGAAGGAGTTGGTGCTGTAGGGATACGTGGATGCGGACTTCGCCGGTGATTATGATACGAGGCGAAGCACCACAGGGTATGTTTGTACCTTAGCGTCGATAGCAGTGAGCTGGGTCTCACATCTGCAGAAGATTGTGACTTTGACTACAACCAAGGCTGAGTATATCACGGTGACTGAAGCAAGAAATGAGATGATCTGGTTGAACGGGTGCTTGGAAGAATTGGATCTGAAGCAAGGGAGAGGAGTTCTTTATTGTGATAGCTAGAGCGCTATACATCTTGCCAAAAATCCAGTATATCATGCCAGAATGAAGCACATCGACGTCAAATATCATTTTATATGCTCGCTAGTTGAAGACGAAAAGTTTCATTTGATAAAGATTTTGGGGAGTTAAAATCCGGCGGACATGTTGACGAAGGCAGTCATCATTGAGAAACTGAAGTTGTGCGCAAGTTCAGTTGGCCTTCACGAGTAGAAGACGAAGGCGGAGCCACACTACGAGGATTGGCACGATCGTCGGAATATTATTGATTGAAGAAAGAATTTTTTTTCCGGGGAGAAGATGCATACAAAGTAGAGGAGAGTTCGGGTGAACTCACTGCAGGCACTTTAGTCTCCAAGTGGGAGATTGTTAGTCTAAAGTATAGACCCAAAGTCGAGACGAAAGCTGGAATCAAAACGACGAAGAAAACGACCTGATAGATCCACGGTTGACCGTGAGAATCTGGCGGTCGACGTGAGAATCTGGCGGTCAACCGCGAGAATCTGGCGGTCGACCACGAACGTGCACAGGAGCTCAGGAGGAGCTGGTTCCGAAGGCGGTCGACCGCGCAACCCCCTGTAGGATTTTTGGTCTCGGGTTTTTGATACGGTCGACCACGATTGGTGTGCGGTCGACCGCGAGACCTGCACGGTCGACCGTCACGATCGACCGTGACGCTGTCAAACAGTTTCCTAAACTGTTTTGGATTCTATTTCTACCAGGACTTTATATATACCTTAAACGTTTTTAGGGTTTGTACAACACGAAAAAGAGAGCTTTTTGACTGCAGAAAGAGAGAGAATCTCAGAGAGATTAAACTCTAGTTTGAGAGATTGTATTTCTTCTTTAATTAATAAAAAAAATTGTGTGGTGTGGCTCCCGAGGGCGTAGGCACGTTGCCGAACCTCGTTAAATCTGTGTGTTCGTCTCATTTACTATTTTTGCAAGGTTAGATATTTATTTGTGGTATTATTCCTACTTTCCTACTTTCAACACAATGTCCGGAAGGGCAATGGTTCGATTGATTGTTTCGAATCCCCAACACTTCAGTTCCTCTACTTTATTTTTTCTCAATTTAGTCCCTACACCACATCTTAATTACAAACTAAGTTCTTTTTTAACATTCGTTAGAAATTGATCAGTGTTAATTTTACTTTATGACCACATAACCTTCGAGTGGTCCTTCTACTTTTGGATTATAATAAAAGTTGGACTAAATACTTAATTTTCTAGTAGTTTTGTGTTATCATTTCTCGATGGCACTTGCAATTCTTTTCTACATG